GACAGTAGTGTCCTGAGGCAACTGGTGATGGTCGATGAAGTCACGGGTAAGCAGGAAGGTCTGCCCGGACAACTCAAGGATTTGCTGCCTTGCCGCAAGTGGCGCCTTGACAATGCATTGGATCTGCTGTTCACCCTTGGGTGCACCTGGGTGCTTGTTGGTGCGCAGGCCATAATAAGTGAGATTGGCCGCGTGGCTGGGCACAAGCTGGTGCATGTGTTGGCGGAGGGTATTCAGTGGTTGCTCTGCGGTTTTGTCAAAATCCTGCTTGCTCATGAGGCGGGAGTCTGCCTCAAGGACAATCTCAGCAATTGCTGCAGTTGTCATTTTCAGCTTGGGCGCCGCGAGCTGGTAGGTGATTTTCCCTGCCGCAACATGCAGCATGGCCAGGCGCTTGTATGTTGTCTTGGACAGAGGATCATCAAGTGTGATCTCATGTGGTCCTGTGAACTCTTGGAAGAGCCCTGGCGGCTTTGTGCCGTCGACCGTGGGTATGATGATGGCGAGGTCAAGAGTTCCAGCTGCCTTGATGAGGTCACCAACATGGGTTTTTGTAGCTAGCACAACACCAGCCCGAGACTGTGAGACTTGAAGTCGGTGCACCTGCTGGAGCGGCTTACCATCCCCTCCCACAAAGGGAATTGGTTCCTGGAATGACAAATCTTCCCACTTTGATTGTGTGGGTTTGGCAGATTTGTGAAGCCACGGGTCATTGATGGTGAGAATGTCGACCTTTCCAGTGGGTGGAGTGGCTTTGCTCTTGGCGTGTGCTGATGCTGTACCGGCCGTGTCCATGGGAACCGGATCTTGTGTACCTGCTGCAATGTAGGTGTCAGGGAAGTGGTTCCTGGTAACTCTGAGAAGGAACCAGTGCCGTGCGTGCAGTGCAAAGTCCCTGAGGACCGGGTGAGCACCAGCTGCGTGCCACCGGGCAACAACCGTCTGTGTGATATGCAGAATGGGCGCGGAGTGTGGTCCAGTTCGCAGCTCCAGGTGCTGTGCGACGCTGAGTGTTGGCAGGTCGATGCCCAGTCTCATATAGAGAGCATGGATGAGTTGCTGCCCACACATGCCAGGTGGGTGATGTTGCTGGATCGCATGAACTGTGAAATTGCCCTGGTTGTAGCCAAATTCAGCTCTCAGTTGCTGGACGAGCGGGCTTAAGCGCTCATTGGATGCCTGAGGAGCCGTGAGGTAGAAGAACGCTTGATGGCCACTTTTGTAGCATTCCGCTTGGATCCAATGGTTGCTGTCTTCGATGAGCCAAATGATGTGCCCATAAGGGTCATAGACCGGGTTGGGAGCATCAAGAAAGACCAGTGTATCCATGGAGCTGTCCCATGTCGCTGGTGGGCAGAAGAGAACTTCTGGCAAGAGTGACCGAGGGCCTTCAAGGATGAAGTCTATCTCATCAAAATGCATCCACACTGGGTTGAGGTGGATATGGAGCAGTCTGGTGTTGACACGGTGCTGGATCTGATCGCCGGAGGCTATCTGCGGGTGCACCACGTGTTGTGGTGGTCTGTAGCCAATGGGATGGCTGGTTTCCAGCGGTCTTTGGTTGGCAATCCTCCCATTGTTGGTGGTTCTGCGCAAAACGGACATAAAGAAGCTCCTTCTGACCCAGAAAGCCAGCTGGGCAACAGAGCTGGTGGTGCCAGTGGTCCCCCAATCTTCAACGGCAGCTTGAAGGACAATGTCAATGACATCCCTCTGGTCAGCTGTCATGGGATTGTGTGTTGGTGCTGCTGCAAGGGTGTCGTGCTGGTCCTGGTGATGGGCCCAACGGTGTAGGAGTTCCCAGCCGCACATGTGTTGTGTCCACTGTGTGTCATGGTGCAGTATCTGCATTCTGTGCGGCCCAATGTCGAGTGCCCTGGCAACGATCATGATGATCCTTGCGTGTAAATGTGGCGGCACTTGAACGGTGACAACCTGGGTGTGTTGGTCATCCTTGGTGATCTCAATGCCACACCAGTGATCTCCAGCCAAAATGGGGATATACGTTGCTCCTGCAGGTTGGATGGTCAACGGCCCAAAGGGACTTTCGTCAAAATCAGACTGTGTGATGTCCCAATATGCTGGTGGGGAAAAGTGGGGGCTGCCTGGTGTAGCCCACTGCAAGAGTTGCGTTGCAAAGACCATTTCATCAGCTGCCATCCATCCGTGCGTGTTGGTGGCGAACTCCGCCCTCTGGTTGAAGGTGGCATCTGCCGGGAGTGATGGTGCTCTGCCATCAGCAAGGTGATGTCCACCTGCTTTGATCGTGGGCATAGGCTGTGTGTGAAGCAGGAAACCATGTTGCAGCTTGGACTGGTTTGGAAAGTTGGGAATCCCTTCAACTCGGAAAATGCTTTGGACAGTACCATCAAGGAGGAAGGTGTGTGTGGCATCTGCTGGAAGTTCCAGCTTGCAAGCCCAAAGTGAGGCACTTCCCTTTGGCTGAATGAAGACTGTAGCATGACTACTTGCTCGGTGAGTTGACACCGGAGTCAGTGAGAGCAAGAGGACATCTTGTGGGTAGCCAGCTTGACCACAATAGTCAGTAGAGACAGTGGAGAGGCTTTGGATAGCCGCACAGAGCAAAGCACGTTGCTGAGGCAACATCGAACAGGCAAAAGTGACCCCAAGATCGGGGATAGTGAGCAAAAAATTCCACATTTGCCCACCCTCGACATCAAACCCTTGCTCAATGATTTGCCAGATGCCAAGATCAACGAGAGTCTCCATGGTGGAGTCGAAATCGGCCTGTGCAACAACTGAGGTCTTGGCGGTCTGATCGGCGGCCTGTGGCTCCCATTCAAGGGTCGGAGGAAACGGATCGGAAAGATCCCCACCCGCAATTTCAATCTCACCGACTGGGGTGCCTTGAATGGTCAAAGTCCAAACAGTCTGAATGGAAAAGACCTCAGCAACAGTACATGATAAGTCCATTGTCTGTGAGGCCCCAACCAACATGAAAGCGTGGATGACGTCTCGAGGCCCTGCCAAAGCGGTGCAAAAGACCTGACCTAGGGATTGTGACCCCTGCGCAGTGACTTCAAGAGGAGGGTGATCACCAAGGAACTTGAGCTCAATTTGAAAAGGTCCTTGTGGAGGCCCATGAATCTTCTGCAACAGAGAGGGTGCTGCTGTGATCCTGATCACATGGACGAAACTGCCAACTTGGCACACAATGGCATTGGTCGCAGACAGACGGTCATGCCAACACTTCTGCACGAGTTCATGGATGGATAAACCTTCTGGCAGGACGGCAAGAAATCCAAGGATCACCGGAAGCAGTGCATGGGGTGTGGCTATTGCATTGCCGAGGTACTTGAAAGCTTCATGCACCTTAGTGGGCAGAATACGATCTTCGGTGGCTCCCAACAGAGAAACGAATCTCGCAGGATCAAAGAAAGCGATCCCTTCAGGGAGCAGCTGCAAAAAGGCGAAAACTCCCTTGGCTTCAACATGACGACGATCTAAGAGGTGCTGAGTAGTGTATGATGCGCATAGTGTCGGCAGGGGCTCAGATTCCTTGGGGTACCGAGCCCACAGCACCTGATCACATGTTGGGGTGCTTTGGCCAAAAGCATGCTTCTTTGCACTCGGAAGGAACTGTGGATCGCCATAAAATTCCTTTTCAGAGTCTGAGAGAAGGAGCTGCTCCTTCCACACCTGTGGGATGTGAAAATCAAATTCCATGTCATGCCACCGTTGCCTCGGCATAGTGCTTGGCGTAATCTTTGCATCATAAAACCGGGCACTCACGTCAGCTCTCACCCAAGTCGCAAGCCAGCGGGTTCTCATCTGAGGTGAGAGATGATTCAATGGCGTCACCTGAGACCAGATCAATTTGAATCCAAGGTGCTTGGCAATGTGCATGATCATCTCATAGTGTTCATGGCTCACGATTTCATCTGCGCATTCAGCAGTCAAAATGATGACCTGAAGTTTAAAGGCGAGAATGAGGCCGCTCACAAATGCCCAACCATTGTCACAAGACAACCCCAGGCGCTTGCCGCCCTTGGACCAAGGTTGGCACGGAGGGCTCATGGTACCCATGGAATTAACTTGGGCTTGACAAAGCGCAACAATGGTTGGGTCCCCAACAGCCGCATGGATGCCAACATGGGTCGATGCAATCCAGTCCTGGTCGTAGGGCAGCGGGGCCTTAACCGCCTTCGTTCCATGCAGTTGTTCCCAAATCTCAATCACTCCTTCATCAGCATCAATGGAAGTGTGCTGCCCAAACAAAACAGGGGTGTTCTGCTCAGAAAGCCACTTAGTAGCCATTTCCCAACCACCAAAAGCCCCAGCAAACAAATGGTAGGCGGACCAAGCCATTTCAACCTGCAGTTCGGGTCTGGGTGTGATCCCCACTTGATGGCCTGATGCACGAAACTCGTGTTCAGAAACTTGCACCATCTTGCCAGAGCAAACCACCATTGCCCCAATGCACAAAGCAACCGACCGAGAAGCGAGGTCCGGAATAGAGATCTTGCAGTGCCTACAATCACTCGAATCCAGAACAAAGCCACGGCCAGGAACAAATGGTGCCACCATCAAATGAAGCTCATGAGGCCCAAACTCACAGACCTCGCCAGCAATCACCATGGAGCCTTCCACCACTGGGCAGTACGAAGTGGTCGCAACTGCATGCAGAAGAGCTCTCAGCAAGCCAGCAAAGGGTTCCTTTATACCCTCAGGAAACGGTATGGTCGCCATGGCTCACAGAACCAAAAAAGAACCACCGGAACACTTTGGCCACACCGATGGCAGGTTGCCAGTGAGGCAACCCTTTTGGACGCTGCGCCTGTCACTTAGGATGACAGCTCGCAGCCCTGGAGGGCCTGTCCCCCTCGAGACCCTAGGCTTTGGGCCAGAAGGTCTGTATACCATTGTATACATGCATGAGGCTACATCAATGGATCCCAACTCTCCACTGATACAGTAGATCTGATGTCCACATGGATCAGGGCTGGTCGTAGAGATGTCAATTCTTGCATCAAAGAGTCTGGTATGTGTACATCTGCCATTCGAGACCTCAGCTCATTCGGGCAGGTCCGGGTAGGTATCAGGAAGCAGATGGCAAGTGACAAAAGCCGAGCAAGTCGGAAAGTAGTTTTGTTGCCAAATCAAGTCAGATTTCACTCCAAACATCAGACCCCGGAAATGTGGTGGGTTCAAACTTCCCTCCCCACTCTCCGTGGGCTTCCACACCCAATGCTTCCCGGCTGTGCTATCGTGTTCTATCCAGCCCAGCGGCAGCAGTAGCCATGGAAGCTGGTGGCCGCTAAGATCAGCCCCGAGCTGGGCGTGTCGAGCCGGTGGATGAAGCCTTTCCCAAAGTCCACTGAGTCCACCATGGTGTTCTCTGGCAGACCTCACGAATTTCCATCTGAACCAATGGTCAGATGTTGTGCTTCGGTTTGTGGCACATTCGCCGAGCCACAACAAGAGAAAACCAAGACTAAATCCACTACACTCGAGGACCAAGAAGAAAAAGAAGAAGGAGGAGGAAAGGAGGAGAGGAGAAGCAACAGTCAGTTCATTGATGCAGGCAATCATCCTAGGTTGGAGGCCATCGCTACTAGGTGGGAGGCCATCGCAAGTAGGTTGGAGGCCATCGGTTCCTTGTGCTATTAGGTTGGAGGCCCACTGCCAGCCACAGGACAGCAAATCTTGCAGCAAAGCCGCAGCCTCGCAAGAAGCCTGAGAGCGGCGGCAAACCCGATTGGCCCTGGCAGGGGTAGCTGTCAAGAGGAGCCGAGGCAGGGCTCGAGTCCAGCTAGGAAGCTTGCAGTAGTTGAATGATCCAACTCTACTTGCATCACAACCTATTCAACGTATTCAGGATTCAAAAGCAACTTCCAGTTGCAAAGACCTCTGCCAATGCCTCAACACTTCAATGCGGAACATCCATACATCCATCCATGCAAAATATCCGAACCGGTCCAAAACTGTGCCTCGCTGTCCACTTCCCATCCCGCAGGCTTCATCACCAAGCACATGCCCCTCATCACGCTCACAAGGCTTGGCTGTGGCTCAGCGGTGGGTGGGGCGGGTCCACTGCTTCGCTGGCCCCCAGCGGCGACCCTGAAGGTGGAGCCCCAGTGCATCAAAACCTCCTGGTGGGAGCTGCACGGGCAGGATTTGGAGTGTCAATCGTGTTTCTTTCTGTACCACTTAGGTTTTTGGACTCCTGCGTGGCTTGCACAAGTGAAAGGCCCTGTCCTGAGCAACTTGTAGCAGTTGTTGGTCAGATTGCTGCATGAATGTGTAGGACCAGGCCAACGCACACACATTCACCAGCAGTCTCGAGTTGCCAGGATCCTCCGCCCTCAACAGCTCCTGCGCCCGACGGGCCATGAAGTCATGAAGCGGGTGATGACACACCGAGATGGTGGCAAATGACCATGCGACATTGGCCAACTGCTGCATAGTGAGCTGATCCATCAGCACGGCAGCTCGTCCACACAAGGCCTCCAGTAGTGGCGGATCCTGCAGCACCACAGATGTAAAGGACCAGAAGCTGTTGGACACATTCTGTGCGTCAAATGCCTCAATGAGGCCAATGGCTTGCCGACCTGCAGCTTCAAACAGCGGATCATCCAAGGTCAGCAGCGTTGCAAAGGTCCAAAGCACATTGGAGAGCTCCTGTGGGTCGAGCTCCTGGAGGGTCCTGCAGGTCACCTGGGCCAAGCTGGACATCAAAGGCTCCTGCACCACACCAACTTTGCCGAACCTTGGGAGGCGCAGGCTCCAACTTTACGTATATATTTAGGACCTTTTCTTGAACCCTTTGCTCCTTGGGTGGTGTGTTTTGGATGTCTTGAGGAGAAAGAGCCATGCCAAACTTCACACGGGGCCCGCGAAATGCTTGTCGGCCTGAAATCAGCTCAGAAACGCCCACGCACTGTTGGCTGCCTCCTGAGGTCCAAATTCATCTGCTAGCTTGATGCAGCGAGCCCCCAGCGCATGAAGCAAAGGCAGGAGGCGCACCTGTTGAGAGTCCACAGTCTACATCTTCGCAGGCTAAAACCCATGAAATGCCTAAAGCAAGCAGTCTGAAACAAACACATCCACTTCACCCCTTTTCCCCCGCTCATAGCTCCATGGTAGCTCTCATCCCCAGAGCCTGCAAGCAGCCCAAGCCCCAGGAGATGTTCGCTAAGTGCTGCGGCCTCAGCTGCTCAACTTTCTGCAGGGTGCGCTCGCCTAAAGCATCCAGCAATGGCTCGTGGAGAAGACCCAGCGCAGCAAGCGCCCAAAACATGAGCGAGAGGTCCTCCAAAGGTCTGGTAACTGGTACCAACGAAAGTCAATGAAAAAGTTCAGGAGTCGAGGGGGCGAGCTGGCTACACTCACAATGAGAAAGCACATGAACTGATGCCACCCCATGCCTGGCATGGAGCTGTCCCATCTGCTGATCCGAAGGCGTCAATCTTCTCCATCGCCACCTCCACGATGGCCGTCAGGACACAGTCATCTCTCCAGGCCAATACTCCACAGGCCCACGCCGTCAGCGCCAAATGCTGCGGCTCGAACGCTCCACATCGAAGCTGCACCCGGCGCAGCAGGGCCTCCCACATCGAGCCACGCGAGGCTAAAGTCGCGAACACCCAGGTGAGACTGGAGAGGTCCTGGGCACTGTACTGGGGCAGCTGCTCAAACACCGCATGCTGCGTGGAGCGCCACAAGGGTTCCTGAAAAAACGACAGCTTCGCAAAGGCCCAAGCACTGTTGACCACTTCTTGGATGGGCCACTGTGACAGCTGGGGGGCAGCGTGGGATGCAATGGCGTGCATGAAGGGGACGTCGGCCATGACCAGCCTCGTCAACCCTCAGACCTTGGCTGTGGGTGACGGCCGCAAATCAGGTGTATGATGTTGCACGACGAATGCGCACGGCTGTAGAAAATGAAAAACAAAAAGTATTGAAGTGGCGTAGCCAATCAAAGAAGGGCGACAGTATTGGAGATGTTCTGAGGGCTGAAGTGCCGCAACTTCGTGGCCTCCAGCTGGTGTGTCAAGCTGGGCCCCTCCAAGCGCAACACTCCGAAGCCCCACAAGGTGTTCGAAAAGCCTTGTGGTCGTAGCTCTGTGCAAAGCTTCTAGGCTTCCACCTCCATGTCTTTCAACAACCGCTCATCCTGTGCGCACAAGCTGGGGAAGTGTCCAACCCGCCAAGTGAAATGTCCGAAAACTCTTTGCCTGCCACTTTGGCCAAGTCACCTGGTAGGAAAGCACTGCAATCGCCCAGGCAGAGTTGGACAAAAATCTCGCTGAGCAGCCAGGCAGGAAGCGTTACCAACACCGCAACAGCTGGGCAAATCGTGGGTCCCTGGGCAGCGAGTCTGGCAGGTGTCGCAATGCCGAAGCTGAATCTTCCCCTTTCCAAAAATGCACCACGTTCTTGGTCTTACATCAGATTGCTGTCTTGCCCTCGTTGTCTTTTGAGTGGCCCTTGATTTCCGGGCAAAGCCATGCAGAAGTAAATCGCGCTGTCAACATGGCTCTGTAGGGCCAACACCAACCGTCAGCCAACCACTTCCACCCTTCTCCGCCCCATCTCTCCTGGCCTCTGCTCTACTACAGTTGTTCCCAGCTTGGCCAAGCGGTGCAGCGCTGTGCTCAGCTGCACTGCACTTAGTTCCGTGGCGCGTTCCCCGCAAAGCCGCAGTAGCCCAGCTGCCCCTTGCTGACAGGCGATCCTCCAGATTTGGGGCTATCGTGGCAGCACTGGCCACACTCCTATCCCACAAGGACCAACTTCAAAGAGTTTTGAAGAAGAAAATCTCTGCCCCAATTGAGAGTATATCTCCATCACAACCAGGGCAAAAAGTCTAAATTTGCATGATTCTTGAACCATTCAGTCCGTCTAGAATTCCTCTGCTAAAACCACTTGGCCACCCAGCACTGCGTTCCACTGCCGCTCAATCGTGGCCGACGGGTCGCGGCGCCGCAAGCTGGTCACTCGGAGCGTGGCGCGGTCGGACGAAGCCATCAGCCATGCCGCGGTCAGAGCGCGTAGGGTGACCGTGACACCAGTGACCGACCGGTGGAGCGTCCCCCGGCCCCCCAGAGACCGAACACCTGTGGAGTGTCCAACTGCTTCTGGCCTGTGGAAGACCTTGGACCAATGTGTGGCCTTCAAAGGAGGGTTTTGTGTCTATGTCCTGCTCCTGTCTGCGAAATGTCTTGGAAAGTGTCCACACACATTGCGGATGAACCTGGCCGGCGACTGGCATCACGATTGATCACGCCTGAAGCATCAAAGGGCACTTGTCACCTGTCGACAATCCGAGTCAACGACTGGCACCTGTCCAATCCCTATGGGATCAGTCCTGATGTGCTTGAGGCAATCTGGAATGACACCCTTCTAGTTCACCGAGATCAAAGCTTACCACCCTCACTTGCAACACCCCGTTTTTCAAATGCACAAGAAGTCGCCAACACCTAAAGCTTGTGTGTCACCAAGAGGCCTTCACGGTTTCCAGCCATGCTCCGAACTACGGCCGTGGTGACCAAAGCCTCAAGTTCAAGTTTATCTTCTTCAACCAACAATTCTGGAGGGTAGTCCAGTAGAAGACCTATATATATCAGATTATATCAGAAACAATAAGCTAGTAGAAACAAGTGCATCGCTTCTAGTAACAAGTGCCTTACTAGTAGTAACAAGAAGCTATTAGAAACATCCAGATTGCAGTCAAGAATCGATCCTCACAATGTCCAGGTTGTTCCAGGTCGAGAAGTAGTTCATCACCACGCTCAAGTTCGCCCAAGTCCCTTTCCTTTCCTGACCAGGAGCAGGGCATGTGCACACATCATCAGTCCTTTTTCAGTAAACGGGCAAAATGAAGAACAACTATTGACCCCATTGCAACATCTCGCAACATCTCCTTCCGCAAACCAATTGGTGTAGGCCGGTGAAAGGACATCTTTGTACTACGTCTGCGACCACATGGGCGAACCAAAAACAAAGCCGTGTGGACGGGCCGGGCTGCAGACTCGGAGAACCTCTCAGCCAAGACCCCAAACGACTGGACCCAACTGGGAGAACGAAACTGCAGATTTGCGGCTGAGGCTCCCCCCTCGGTAGCTCGTAGCAAAACTGTTTCAGCTCCTGGAGGTGCTACAACGTTGTGCATGGACGGGCTCAATCAAAGTGCTGACACTAACTGGCTCTAATCTCTTCAAAAAGATCTACACTGCTTTCAAGATCCCACCAGCTACACAGTAAGATTCTGGTGAACGCCGCACCTGGCAACGAAAGCTCCTGCACCGCCAATGCACAAAATGGTGAAGTCATCTGGGTCCCAAACATCCAACACACGGGAAGCTGACAGGAACAAGCTTGGAAGCGCAGCCCAAAGCGTCCTCCAGCCCCTCTCCAGCCCAGACCGTCCTCTAGCAAGAAAAAGACTTGAAGGATGATCAGCACGACCTGCAGAGACATCTGCACAAACATGTCCCTATTACACCAGGAGAAAAGCAAATGTTGAATTCACGAAGTGAAAATTATAGATTTTGTATGAACTGGCTCTCCGTCATTTAAGCTATCTTTAGTTGATTTTAAGGATTTTTTGAGAGATGGGCCAAATCTTAACTTTAAAGTTTTATGTTATCATAGATCTCACAGCATGTTTCTTGAATTGCAAAGTTGGTGGCAAAGTGTTCGCCAGCGCGGCCAGAGGACAGCAGGACGACAAGAGAAGGACACAGGGTTCGCACAGGAGGACACCAAGAGGGCAAAAGGAGGACACATGGTTTGCTAGCGTGGCCAAGGGACAGGAGGAGGACAAGAGGGGGGCACGGGCTGGACACAGGGTTCAGGGGCGCCAAAGACTGTGGCGGGTGTGCGTTTTTCTAAGCAAGAACCCCAACAGTAAACTGTTTGGGGAACTGATCTGAAGAACAACTGGAAAGGACTCTGTGTACCAGAAATGTTGCTCCTCATTGTGCGCCCTGTCTTGGTCATCCACCCAAGCCCCCGATGTGCCAAGCGGCGCCGAATATCCAAAAGGCCACACCTGGTCGAGCCAGAGAACCGGGGGCTTAAGCATGGCACTGGAGTTGCTGACATTTTTTGTGAAATGTTACAAATGGGCAGCATGTTTTCAGGTGCCATCCGTGTGTGTGTGCCCCTTGTAATCACAGGGATCCAGTCGGATTGTGCTTTCTTCTTTTTCCTTTTGTTTTAAGCAGGGGGACCAGGCATCTTGCTGCTGACCTGGTCTAACAAAGCTAGGCAGCAAGATGGGATTCTGGAGTTGGCCACTCCAGCGTACCTGCGATTCTTTTCAAGTGGCATGAGGCTAAGCCCAGAACCTCGAAGACATGGTGTTGCATAGGGCTTTGGTTTTGATTTGCAGATGTGAGCGGACGACGTCATTCTGTCGGTCGATCGTTCGGTGGTCTCTTTAGACTCTATGGCCTTGCTGAACCTGTTGGACCTCCACTTCCTTTTCAGGTTTCCTCACCGGTACCCTTAGGAAATGGAACCCTAGGCCGGCGTGTGGCACCGCTGTCAAGTCAGTACGCATATCCATAAGTGTGTTTGGCTTCGTGCCAACCCGGGATGAGCCCGTAGAGTGCCTCCCGTGGACCCGTCGAACGGGGGTTTGTTGTTATCTCCCCTGCCCGGAGATGTAAGTGTCCGGAGCGGACAGCAGATGGCTTACGCCACAAGAAGTGGGATGTTTGTCTCATTTTTGGAGTTCCAAGTTGGCTCATGCCTTTACGTGACCGCAGCGGTCCAAGCTGGCTTACCGCCTCAACGTGGTCAGAGCGACCGAAGTACTTTTGAGGTTCATTGGAACCTGTCGCGACCTTGGGTGCACACACAGCGTGTACATTGAAACGAAGGAGGTCACCTAGGTCGTTGCAATGAGGTTTGGTCTCATCGGTTTTCGTCCCCTCCATTTGGTTCCCCTTTCATCCCTTCCCCTTCACTCACTTTTGTTTCCTCTTTTCTTTCATGTCCTCCTGTCTTCATGTCTGGTCATCTCATCCTTTTCTTCGTTTGCGCGCACATTGGTCCCGACCTTAGTGTGTACGTGCACTTCTACATACATTTTCACACAGGTTTCAGGTCGCCCAGGTCTTGACAATGAGGTGGGCTTCATCGAGTGTCCCTGTGCACTTGGTTCCCTCTTCATTTCCACCACACACACCTTTGTCCCGTCTCGTCCTCCTGTCATGTCTTCATTCTTTTGTCTCTTGTGCGCGCACACGTGCACATTTGCCCTCACCTTAGCTCGACGCCTCCCCTCGGGGAGGCGTGTGTGTGTGCCCCTTGTAATCACAGGGATCCAGTCGGATTGTGCTTTCTTCTTTTTCCTTTTGCTTTAAGCAGGGGGACCAGGCATCTTGCTGCTGACCTGGTCTAACAAAGCTAGGCAGCAAGATGGGATACTGGAGTTGGCCACTCCAGCGTACCTGCGATTCTTTTCAAGTGGCATGAGGCTAAGCCCGGAACCTCGAAGACATGGTTTTTTGTTGCATAGGGCTTTGGTTTTGATTTGCAGATGTGAGCGGACGACGTCATTCTGTCGGTCGATCGTTCGGTGGTCTCTTTAGACTCTATGGCCTTGCTGAACTTGTTGGACCTCCACTTCCTTTTCAGGTTTCCTCACCTCTACCCTTAGGAAATGGAACCCTAGGCCGGCGTGTGGCACCGCTGTCAAGTCAGTACGCATATCCATAAGTGTGTGCACAGGTGTTTCCTCGTTGTTGGCCAACCACCACGAGCGGTTGGCAGCTTGTCCCTGGCCTGATGCGTTCTCCTCCCCAAAGGTGGCGGGCGGTGGGCAGCTCTCCCGCCCAGCCACGCACCAACAGGCCCAGCAAATCAGCGAGAAGATGTAAAGACCCAACTCCAAGCGGAATTGCCTGCAAAGGTGGTGCCAAACAAGGGATGTCCCAAAGAGTTGCCAAATTCCGCCCAAAAGTCACAGCAGGTTAGCAATGCTGCAGCAGCTGTGGTGGCTTGACATCTCTTGAACCCAGTCGCTTCCAGCCCAAGTTCGTCCACTGCTCCTCCAGCAGAAACTGCACAAACTTCGTGCGCATGATCTCCTCTTGCTCGGACTCCTGCACCGACAAACTTGGCACAAATTCAGATCAATGCTGAATTTGCCAAAATCAGGCAAACCACAATCACTTCAGAATAAGAACAATGACCTCGCAAGATTTCTTCGTGAATGGGTTCCTTTCAAGTCATCAATTCTGTCAATTCTATCTATACTACTATTTGACTGCCATGAATCTTGAATTCTTAGCACTCCTGTGTTCCACGCCCTTACGATCTTGCAACCCAAAACGCCTCGCCTTCAAGGCTCGGATCATGCCGATCTCCTTATCCAAGGCACCTCGCAAGAACCAGACCCGAATCTCCACCGGCCGCTGTGGATCCTGGCGCGCCAACCAGCGAGGGCGAGGGCGAGTGCGCGGGTGCGGGCGCGGGGGGTGCGGGCAGGAATGGATAAGAAGACTAAAGACTGTAGACTACGAGGCAACTATGGTCACTATGACATGATGAGCGCTTGATCCATTTTGCCCGATCTTTTTGTTGATTTCTTTGCACACTTTCACCGCCAGAACAATTCCTCCAAGTCTGCCCTTCGCTCCTTTGAGAGAGGCACCAGGCCTCCGCAACAGGCCAACAAACGAAAACGAAACGGACCAAGGAAGTATGCCAGATCCTTCCAGCACAGTGAGCTGCTATTTTCCAAAAGAAATCGAACATATTCGAGCGTTGATCCCCAAAACAAAGAAGGTTGCCCTTCGCGTAGTTTATTTCATCGACAGTCTTGGCAGAAACAACAACTCTGACATACTAGGGGCTCCTGGCCCTACTACTAGGAGCAAGGACGCTACTAGGGGCTCCTGGCCTTACTACT